TACTAAACTTTACTTACTTTTTCACTTTATAAAAAGCCACTTATGGAGCATGAGCTTAGGATCAAGGCCCACTCAATCTCCATTAACAACGCATTGTTTTAGACAGCACTGCTGTTTAGCAGCCAACCAACACTCCTCAAACCACCGCAGCGCGGGTCCGCGGTTAACAATTGCTGAATGCTTTCCAGAGCTGGCTGTCACGTTACCGTCACGGGAAAGAGTAGTGTCGGGCTCAGAGTCGTGCTGGGCTTCCCAGTCGCCTTCAGCTCTGGACGATGAAACGGTTTTGCCCCGCCACGGTTTTCGTAAGGAGGGGGCGGAGTTCAGAAAGAACGTATCAACCTGATTTTCAAGTTTTTTTAAGGGGACGTTTGTGGGGAAAATGAAAAAGGCGAGCCTAAAGGGGCTGACTGCCCCGAACCCTCGGCTAAGTCTGCCGTGATTGCACTAAGTACATACGAGGTACGAGTTTTACCATCCATATTTGACACGCCAAGCCTCAGGTTTAGACTACCTCGTCAGGAGGCAGTACAAATTCATTGCAACATGCCCTGCAGAGTTTAGTTGGCATGAACACTACCTCCCCCCCCCCCCCCAATGCAATCAAAAGTACCAGCTGTCCAGCACCTGTTGAAGTGCTGCACGTCCGGGTGACCTCAACATCTTCATATCGATTATCGCTTGGAACACCTTCCAGTCAAATTTTCCCACCCAATCGTGCCAGCCCGAAACAATGCGATCCGCCGCGCTCGTCATCCACGCCGCGCCCGCCCGCCCCCGCCGCGCGTTCCAGCACTGCCGGCAGATGACTCTGCAGTCGCGGCCAAGGTCGCCCTGTTCCCAAAGATCCACGTCTTTGTGGCCACATGACGAGGCGGGAGGGAGGGGGAGGGGGGCGGACAGGGCGGGGCCATCTCGGGTGTGGTCACTGGCGTCTCTTCCGGGCGCCGACTGGACAGGGGCGATTCCAAGGACCACCCCGGGGAAGGGTGGCGATAATGGTTCACGGGCCATGCTGGGGATTTGTCAGCTGGGCGATGGACATGACTAGCACTTCCATGATTCCAATTCAAATTGACGTCGCCTTCCAATGACTTGGACTTTCCAAGACTGACCAGCGACGATGATTGCGACAAAAACGCATACTTTCCCTGCTGGAAGCAACACCTTAGATGAGAAGCGCCCACAATGCCGTCGGACACAGAGGACTTCAGACACTACGCCATGATCCGGGACCGCGTGACACTAGCGTTAAGATTAGCCCGTTAAGCCCTATCCCAGCACAGCGCCAGTCGCCGCGTGGACACGGCAGGGTGCCAGCAGCCGGCGCACTGTCGACCATTTTACCCACCCCCATAAGGAGCACCTGGGCGCACCCCTGGCGCACGCACGGCCGACGCAGCACCACGTGCCACCGGGCTCGGCGCCACACCCGGATCGGGGGGCGGGGCGGGGCGGGGGCGGGGGGGGGGGGGGGCGGGGCGGAAGACGAGCCCACGGCCACCGGTGGTCAGCCGATCGGCGGTGATCGAGAAGTGACGCGACATCGAGCGATCTGTCACCACACCGGCCGGCGGCGGCGACAGGCGGAACTGGAGAGCCGGAGCGACCGCCAGCGCTGAGCCGGCGATGGGCAATTAAATGAGCAGGCTGTACACAAAGACTGGCATGAAGACTAAACATGACTAACATGTTGCCACAAAGACTAGCATGAAGGCCGTCCGGCCACGCTTGACCTGTCACATCTGGCATGTCACACCTACTCTGTCACATCTGACATGTCATATCTGACAAGTCACAACCGACCTGTCACACCTACACCTGACATGTCACACCTGATCTGTGATAACTGACCTATCACATCTGACCCGCCACACCTGACATGTCACACCCGATTTGTCACACCTGACCCGTCACACCTGACCTGCCATATCTAGCCCGTCACACCTAGCCTGTCATATCTAACCTGTCACACCTGACCTGTCACAGCTGACCGCCACACCTGACCCGTCATATCTAACCCGTCACACCTGACCTGCCATACCTGACATGTCGCACCTGACCTGTCATAACTGACCTATCACATCTGACCCGCCACACCTGGCATGTCACACCCGATTTGTCACACCTGACATGCCACACCTGACCTGTCACACCTGAACTGTCATATCTAACCCGTCACACCTGACCCATCATATCTGACCCGTCCACCTCAACCGTCACACGAGGCGGCCTGCCGCACGGAAAAACCCAACTTGCGGGCCGACTTGTCGCTCACTGAGTACGTCCACCCTTATACGCGAGTAGGGGTGCCGGTAGTGTAGTGGTTAACGCGTCTGCGTT